GTTACTGTTATTGTTTGTCACTAATATGAAGAGCAGCTTCTGGTTGCAAAAGTTTAAAAAGGATATATTTTCATTTGTACTTTATCACATTTCATGTCTTGCGATTATTTGACAGGAGTTTTACTTTTAAACTCTAAGTGTATTTAATGTAGTTATGTTAGTTATAATAGTTTAGTTATAATGTAAATACAATAAAAATTTAACCAAGATTTATAATAATCATTTTGATCCATACATTGGTAATGTGTGACTGGATCTCGTGTCACTTTATGTTCAATAAATTGGGCCCCGAGGTCAAAAAGGTTAAGAAGCCCTGGTTTAGATGACATTACATTAAAGCTATACTGTATCATGATTATGGAGAAAAAAAAGGTTTTCAGGAAGATGTTTCTTAGATTCTTTAACCCATAAAATGGTTTTATAATTAATAAATCTGATTACTGAAATTACTTAAAATCAGATGTTTGGAGACAAGTTTGATTCAAACAGTTTATTCTTATATTCTTTGATTTATGAACCTGAACTCTAAATGTTCCTTCCTTTTGTACTTCTGTTGGTCTACCTGTATAATTATTATATAATACTGTTGGTTTACCTGTATAATTATTATATAATACTGTTGGTTTACCTGTATAATTATTATGTAATAACTAATGAACTCCAACTTCATGTTTCTCAATATTATTCACTTATTATTCTACATGCAGTATGTTTTTCAGACTATTGAAAACAGAAAAATAAATTTCTGTATTTGGAAACAGAAAACAAAAACAAACTGGTAATTGTATAAAAGTAGAATCATGTTTACCTCTGGTAACATCTGTCAGGAAGGTGATGTCCTCAGGCTGACAGCCAATCCTCTCTGCAATCCTTTCATAGCTTTTAGCATCGACTTTTGCTCCTATTGTCGTATCAAAGTGACCATCAAATAACTGAAACACAATAAATACATGACTAAATACTTCAAACAATAAAAACACTTCAAATTTTTTTAAGAAAGAACAAATGATCTGAATTTTGTAACCAAAGAAAACTAAAGTAAAGGTAACGTCAATGAAACAATGGTTCACTTACATCTAAAAGGTCTCCTTCAACAGAATACCCAAACAGTAGTTTCTGAGCCTCCACACTTCCAGAGGAGTAAATGAAAACTTTCAGGCCATGCTCTCGCCAAGTTTTGATGCATGGAACCACATCAGGATAGATCCTGTCAACAACAATACAAAAGTTTAACAATCGGTATCAGTTTAAAACTAAATTAGCAGATTTTTGATAATGGTGTCAAATTTGTTTGTTCTAAAATGGAGTTTTTCTTTCTTTGCAGAAGCAGAAATACATAAGTGAACATTTAAAAGACTTTAGATTAGAGGTTTGTTTCCAGCTTCTTGTGTGGTGATTTGTCACATTCAGTATATTACACAGGTCATATTCACACCCAACACATTTGCTCCACTTAAAACAGACCACAGTTTGTTTCCAGCGTTGGTACGGACCTTTTGTGCAAGTCATGTGAACTCTGGTGTGGATCAAACAACCGGACCAAGACCTGCTTTTTGAAGTGGTCTCAGTCCGTTTCCAAACTGGTGCGGTTCACTTCAGTTCACTTCTGCTGTGAATACAGACCGGACTTGAACCAAACTACTGTATTTATTCATGTATAATACTAGAAATTTTACCCTAAAAATCATCCATAAAGTGGGAGGGTAGTATTATACATGGGTTATTGATGATTAGATTTTTACTTCTTTTTAAGCTAAAAATACTATGATCGTATTATACATGAATAAATACGGTAACTACGCACAACATGCACCGTTTTGGACTTCACGGGCCACCGTTACTGAGCTAAATAAACTGAAATCATACCTGATTTAATGGGTCTCATGCAAGAACAGTTGGTATGCACAGATTTGTTCTTAAGTTGTGCGTACGAGTGATTTAGGAGAATTTGTGTCATTCACCAATGTTTTCATATTCTAAGATTTTTTTCAGATACGAACAAAATTCAGGAGTGGTCCAGACCTGTCGTATATTTTACCAGCAGTCAGTCTGCTGTTATCCAGATGGGTTTTCTTCATTAATAACTTTATATTTCATTAGTTTGTAGGAGAATGTGACTTATGTAAAATAAGTCTCCCTACATCTTCTCATAACAAAGTTATGAGAGAAATTTTTACCAAGGTTTTTTCTCATTACTTTAATATTTGACTGTACAAAGTGAAGAGTGACACAATAAGGGAACATCAGATGAGTTCAAGTTATTCATAAAAGATTATGCAATCATTTATTTACACAAATTGAACAAATCATAAGTTACACCTGATTGTGGATATCCTATAACAAGCATCCAAGTTAAATAAGACAAAAACCCGCGTCCGAATTTTCTTTCACATTAAAACTCAGATTACTTATATATAGAACAGTAAAACGTCAGCTCTGATGTAATAACTAAACAATTTACTGGCACTTTAACTTAGGGTTGGCAAAGAAAGGGTAAGAAAAGGGGTGAAAATTAAGGATTAGTGTTTCTGCTTTTATTTTGGAAAGTGTCTGTGACAACCGGATTAGCACGTCCTCTCTGCGCTCAGACTTCAACATGACACGTCATCCAGAACACGTCAGCTTTTACCTGGTGATGTCTTCTCTAGGCACCCCTGGTATGAACTGTCTCACCCCGACCATCCAGGAAGCTTGTACCCGCTGGTCCTTGGCGAGTAGGTGTTTTTCAGGTGACTTTTAGTCTGTTTCAGCCCAGGCTAGAAAGACTCCAGCTGAAAGTTCCGGTCGTCCTTCAAAATAAAAGTTCTCCCATTGGGAGATAAAAACACTTTTTATGAGACGTATGTCTCTAGGTGGACAGAAGCGGCGTGCTTCTGTCCGGCCGTCAGATTTCACCCTATTTGGCTGAATGGGCGAGATCCGAGGCCCGGCTGTTCTCCGGAGAGAAGAAGCCGGTCTTCCCGTTTCGGCATTCAGGAAGAAGAGTTCCATCTCTCCAAGACATCCGTGTTAGTAACAGAGAGTCGGACGACTTGGATCCGCCCTGAGGCGTTTAGCATGAGTCAGAAAAAGAAAGGAAGATAAGAGGCTTTGCCAGAGGCGCCAGTGCAAGGCCACATTCCGTAGCTGTTTTAACAGACATTTGATATCTTCTGGCTTTCTTTCTGATAGACTCTAATAGAAATCACTGTAAAACATTTATGATGATTAATTAACATTTCTGTTTAAATAATCAGTCTGAACTTGGTGTCCAGATAAATGTAAGATTTTCTCAAGAAAACTCAAAATTGTATTACTGATGTTTCCAGTAAAATAAACACTGATTTATATAAAAACACAATGAAAACATGGTGAATATTTCTCTGTGATTTTATACCATTAATTAATCTTTTAGGCACGATAAAAGAGTAGAAGTGATTCTTCCTTTCTTTGTGACATGTCATTATTARGATTAACAAATGCATAACATTCTTAGTTAAACAACAAATGAATCACGAACAGAAAAGATTGTTTCTGTCCATTATCTGATTAAGAGAACTGAAGTCCTCTACCACAGGTTGAAATGACCTATCATGGCCTAAAATAGAGTTCAGTGTTCCTGCCTTCGGCCAGGCCTTTCCGAGACCTGCTTTGAGGCAGTAACTCCTGTTTCGTCACTCGAGGTGACCCCTACATACCCCCCTTTTGCCAGTCATCACCCCCAAATGGTGATTAGTTGCAACGAAAATGGGCACCTCGAGACTTATCGAACTTGAAGTAATCCAAAGGAAAAGATGATATAATTCCAAGGGTAATCCAAACTGAGAACTTGCTGTAGCCAGAGTTCTTTTCAGTTCAGTTTTTCTTCAAGACGAACAGGAAATCAAAGGGAATCGAAATGCTGTTTTTTTCGTGATTCCCATAATGTTTGTGAATAACTCCCATTGCGGCACAGCTTTAATCCAAGGAAAAACAGAGTCTGTAATCCACTGGAAGCAAAGGATTGTAATCCACCAAGGAAGAATTATAATCCACAAGGGTAATTCCATATGATTGTTGTGGTTGATCCGGAATCAACCAGTTTCTGGAACACCATGAAGATTAGTTGATTTCAGGAACCCCCCTTTTGGCGAGTCGCTCTCTGGAAGGTTGCTGATGAAAGGGGGGACCTCCCGATCGAAGGTTGAGGTCCCTTAGCAGGAGCCAGGA